ACACTTCAACATTTTGTGCAAGCGACAAGCTGATAACAAATGCATACTATTTGGAACGTGTTGTGTTTATTTATCTCAGCTTATGCATATTTACAAAAAGGGAAATGCGTAATGATCTAATTAACTTTCCACATTGTTTGTTAATTAACGAAAATTACTACAAATTTATGTTGGGGGTTAGATATCGGTAGTGTTACAAACATATGGGAAGCCTCATATAAAAATCCATATACGAAGTTTTTTTGTCAATCATTTGTCGATCATTTGTCGATCATTTTCGATCATTTCAATAGTAAACTTCAAAATGCTATGACCTTCGAATGAAGAAAGTTACAGCCTCTAAACTTTGGCAGCAGACAGTTTAACACCCATTTCGTCATCCTATGGCCATTTTTTTGTTTATCTTATGAAAAAAGTTAAAGAAAAATCGATTTTAAATAGTTTCTAATAAGCAAACTAATGTTTATGTCAATAAAAACGAAAAAACAGAGCTGTCAGTTTGTTGATAAATGAATCGAGCATATTCGATTTCAATTTCATGAGTATATCTGTTCTCTATCAGGCTGGGTAGGAAATTAAAGCTATCATATTTTTATTAATAGGCAAATGATCAGCAATTAAAGGCTTAATATAGTATTAAAATAGCGCCGGTCACTATTTATTTAAGTCTTAGCCAGATTTATTGAAATTAAACGACGTCAAGAAAGTTACACGAGATTGATATAGTGTTGATAATAATAAACATCTCTATTTTTTAGGGACTATATAAGATTCTAATACTGCTTTTGCAGCTTCCTCTCCAAATTCCTCTAGCTTGTCGCCTTCACTTTTTTCTCTAAGTTCTCTACGTATTTCCTTTAACGCTTCTCTGGTAACTTTCTTCTCACCTGTAGAACAGGTAAGCTGCATTCGAGCCTCTTGCAAAGCTGTTGTCTGATTGGGGTCAGTTTTTATATCATACTTATTGAACATCCCCTCCAGTTCAGTCAGGGAATATACCAAAAAAGGAAACGGGTTCTAGAATGATCTGCGGACCAATTCTTGAAATTTGATTGGCTTACACACTCTTTACATCCGCATTCTTTGTGAATTTTCACCCTATTCGACCACAGTTAAAAACCATACAAACATACAGAAAAACACCTCTACTTTTCATATTTGCCAATAATCAAAAATAATCAACTCATTTCGAAAAAGTAAATGAGACGTGAAAATTACAGTTTTTGCATACGTTAATGTATTAAGACGAAATGAAGAACATAATTCTGCTAACTAAGTTGTATTCAAACATTTTTTTTGAACAGTGTCCGTTTACCAGAAACCAAGAGCAAGAGACCTTCCGTGCATCTTTGCAAGTTTAGTTGAAGCATATGGTGAAGTTGGGTTGAGATCATGCAAAACGAAAGAACACCAAATGTGGCAGCATGCGAGTACCAAAGAAACAGCTAAGCGACTTGCACTCTTTCATAATTATATTCCTGAACTTGCTAATATACATT